TGTAAAAATCCTTCCCCCCCCCTCCCCCCCCTTCCCCCCCCTCCCCCCCCCCCCCCAACAGCTCCAGGAGCAGTTACAACACGTGCAAGCTGAGGTGGGTCAGCAAGGGGGGGAGGGGAGGGGGGAGGAAGGCAAGGGGGTTGGGTTCCCGACGGGGGTCTGTACGGGGTCTGTCTGTCTGTCTGTCTGTCTGTCTGTCGGTGTGCGTTAGTATGTGTGTGTGTCAGCTGGCTGCTGTCCGGAGCCCGCACAAAGAAGTACAAACCACTCTTGCTGCTACTGCAACAACCCCCTCGTGACCTGATCTGATCTGGTCACCAAAGCGGGGGGGACTTCACCTCACATGGGGTGGGGAGGGGAGGGGAGGGGAAGGGGTGTGTGTGGTGTGTTTGGGTCCTACCCGGGGGAGCACATGTGGGGGCCCCACCCCCGGCCACATCGGCTGTTCACCCCCCCACCCCCCAACACTACCGCCCCGCTCCTCCCCCCCCTCGCCGTTCCTCCCCCCCGTGGTGACGCTATCCGCGTCCCAATGATCCGTACTGCCGTACAGGCTCAAGAGCTTCAACGGAAGCACCGCGAGGCTTCCATTCGATTACAGGTATGAGTCCGTGTGTGTATGTATGTATGTATGTGTGTGCGTTTTGGGTGGTAGTCCGACCGCTGTGTGTACAGGTGGGGTGGTGGCCTCCAGGCCGCCCCGCAAGGACATCGGGTTTCGTAGGTCTGTGTGTTGACAGTTTGACTAACCCTGATCTGACGTCGTACGGGGCGACACGTGGGTCGGTGGGTCAACACCAGTACGGATCCTGCTACTGCTGCTGCTGGTCGTGCTGTTGCAGGAGGAGCGGTCCAGGGGGGAGACGGCGGAGCGGGAGAGGAAGGAGGTGCGGAGGGGGTACGACGGAGCACAGAGGGGGGTGTACGGAACGGCCGAGCGCGGAGGGGTACCAGAGCAATGGCGGGAGGGGCGGGCGGGAGGAGGTCCTGTCCCCCCTCCCGCCCGGCAGCACCTGCCCCAGTGGAACACGGCCAAGTCTGGAACCGGGGTTGACTTATCAGACCAACGGGGCCCAGGGCCAGGGGGTGCGGGAGTGACCCGTCGGGAGCACCCGTGGCGGGGTGCGGTGGTTGGCCTCCATGTCCTCCGCCGTACACCGGGACATAATGGGCAGCGTCTAAATCTGAACTGGGCCTGGGCTAACCTGCCTGGCCTCCCCCTTTTCGGGCCCTCTTCCCCCTTCCCCCCAGTGCTACACCGCATTGCCGCGCTTTCCCCACTCCCCCTCACCCCCCCACCCCCGCCTGGCGGGTAGCTCTTGACTTGTTAGGTCCGGGTTCTGGCGGCTGTCGCTCTCCATCACCCTTCACCCCTGTTCCCGTGTTCCCCCTCTCCCCCCCGCCCCCATGAACTCCCCCTCACCACCCCACCCACCCCGATGTGCCCCCACAGGCTCATGACAAGTGCCTCTTGTTGGAGGCGGAGCTGCATAAGGCCCGGGTGGCCAATGCGGCCTCCAGCGCAGCAGCGCGCACCCCCCCTCCCCACCAGCAACGCCAGGGGGGCCTCAGTCCGGGCAGTGGCGGGATGAAGCGGCCACGTCATGCAACTGA